ATAATAATAATAATAATAATAATAATAATGAAAAAATTTTATTGATAACAATGGTAACTATTAAAATCCTATTTACAATTAATTCACTTGAAAAAAGAAAGAACTATTCCTTCAAAACGCTATTTACAATTCCTGTCGATTTAAAAAGCACTTAATTTAGCTTAGAAAGAGTTAATTTAACTAAGAAAAAACATTTCATTTCAATGAAAGAAAAAAACTGTCAGCCTCTAAAATTCAAAAGTTTCCTTCAACTGTTTAAAAAAAATAAAATAAAATGAAGACAATTAAATAATAATAATAATAATAATAATAATAATAATAATAATAATAATAATAATAATAATAATAATAATAATAATAAGGACTTTAATGGATAATACAATTACTGGAAGTTCCAGTACTTTTTATTGTGGTTCAGATATACAAATATCAAAATATCAAAAAGTACAAAAAAATCAAATTATAATAAATACTTCAGAAAAGAGATAACAAATCAGTAATTATAAAAACATTAAAAGTTAAAAAGTTGTGTTAATAATAACAAAATAACAGTCTAAAAAATGTTTATGTAATTCATTTTTAAATGTACTTAGGCCCCTAATGTTTCTAGCAAGATCATTCCAAAGTCTCGGGCCACTTGCAAGAAATGTACGTTGACCAGTCTTGGTTTTAAAAAAAAGGACGGATAGTGCCATACTAGTTGACGTTCTAGTTTCATAATTATGTCTGGTTTTGACGTAGCAAATATAATGATCGAAATAATCAGGACATTATACACTTAATGACAGATCCCGAGGGAAACAGTTAGTTTTGTTTTCCCGAAAGTCCTGATGTTTCCCGAGACGAAGTTTTGCTAGAGTTTCAATCGAACTCTTGTAAAACGTTCGAGTTCAAGTAGGGAAAAGAAAAATGGTTTTGATCGAGCTATACATGTTCCCATCTTTTATAAAATGTCGCATAAGAAAGCTTCACGTCGTAGTCGTATAGTGGATGTAAAAAATAAATAAATAAATAAATGTACTAAAAAGTGTGATGGTTGTGCAAGGCTGTTGGATTTGCTTATTGAATTATATTGTTTTTCGACGTACTCTTTGAGATCGTTGGCATCATTGCCCAGTAGTCACTTAAAACGCATTATGTAGTTTGATCCAGGTAACGCTGCAGGAGTTTTAATTTTCAGGAGCAAACAAGGAAGATCAACTGTAAAATTAGTCCTCGGCCCTCCGCTAACTTCGTTTTCTCGAGCTACTAAGTCCTGCTCACAGTGGAAGGACAGAAAGGATAATGGTCGACCTGAAGCTCTGTCAACTTCGCTAGTTGTCTTCCGCCTTCTCTCCCTACCATTCATCTTGTCATCCATTTGCTGGATTGACTATAGTCATGTCCTTATTCACTGCTAGTGTGGCAGCTCAAATACTCCTCCTGATGGAAAAGACTAGATGAGGACGCTGCCGCACTGCTGCTCTGAACTGGGTCATTTACATGCGGGCAGCAAGCTTGAGTGGCTTGTTTCTTCCTTAAGCGATAGCGCTTGTTTTTGAACCATTTCTAAAAGTGAGGAAATCAAAAAGTGGTCTGTGTAAGTAACAGTTTTGAAAAACTGTGTCAATCGATCGATTTTTGTCGGTGGTTCCTCACCTCATAAGAACTCACCCCCTTTTTTAAGTGCGGTACTGAATCGAAGATATGCAAATCAAATAGTTGTCCAAGTTTGAGCTATTTGATCGCTTAGTCCGTTGCTGGTGACTGCTTTGCAGTCTAGTTTCGGGTGATCACTCTCTCCTCCGCAGAGTTCTCCTTTGTGTCCTCGGGAGGCAGGGGAACCAGGAAAAACAAGGACGGGGGAAGACGTTTCCCTCTTCGAAGGGCTCTCTCCTAGCATGGAGTTCCCAGTAGGTGTTTAGACTGCGGAGGAGACTGAGAGCGGACATAAGCGATGGCGTAGAATCTACACTATTAATTTATGCCATCTCTGAATTATAAATTGGGTTTTACTGGGAGCTTAAAAATAGAGTTACATGATTGGGCAGCAATTTAAACTTTGAACAGGTTGGAACTTCCTAATAGTTGCTACATCCAGCAGATATTTTACAGAAAACAGTCTTTTGGTGCCCCTGCCTTAAAGACTCACCATTTTTTCTATTACTCGCGGTTCACACTCAGAAAGCTGACTGTAATAATCTTTACGAACAACTAGGATGGCTGAGGATTCAAAACAGTGTTAATCTCTAGTAAGGAACTAAACAACATGGCCGAAGCTCACACACTTATAACTGTACACGCATGACCAGGGAAATACCGCTGATCATTACACTGACAAGACAACACGTTCTTTAATTCCCTTTATGTGGACTTTTGTAACAATTATCTGTGATCATATCATTAAATTTTGCAAACCTGCAGTGTCTTTTTTTCCATCCCCAGGTTGCTTGCAAGTTCTTTATGCTCACAAGAATTCAAGTATGGCGATAAGACAAAGATTTCTTCCAGAATTCGTTTTCGATAGTCATCATGCCAAGAGAATCTCTCCGTTGAGGTATCAGGATCAAAACATTTAACTGAAGTGCTTTCACCTTCTGAAAGAAGGCGATAGAAAAAAAAAAGATCAATTAGCGAGACATCATCATCATCATTATCATAATCGTGCAAATTACTTAAATAAATCAAAACTTCAAATATTAAAAGATAAAAAGGTTTTAGTATATATACACACTCAGTGATCTTGCTGATTAGGGCAATCTGATTGGTTCGCTATCTCGGGCCATTTAACAATTGTTCCACGAATGTGCGTTGGATATCAGTTGGCTATAATCATCTCATATCCAACCAGCGCGAGTGGAATAATGGTTTTATTAAAAACGCCGACAAAATATCGAGAATTCTTACCTACTTTATTTGTAAAAACAAGCGATTTTCAGCTCGTTTTTAATTTTGAGCAGACGGGTACGGTTACCATATTTAGAGAGCATGGTATAATGGCTCATATACCATGATGGCTAAGCCAATCAGAGCTCTAGAATTGCATTACCCAATGATTCAGTATTTAATAATCAACAATATTAACCTCCTAGCTAGTGGATGATGTGTGAGCCCGGTGTTTTTCCCATTTTTTTAGAGAACGATCTATTAAAAGTCAACAAAATCCTAGGGTTGACTTTTTTTAAGGCAAGAAAAGACTTCGACGGATTCAAAACGGCGTTTTTCCATTTCCTACAGCTGAATTTTTGCTCGATGGATTGTTTACAACTCCCGTTTATCCGCGTAGAAGAGGCCTTTTCGTGAACTCAGCATCTCCTAACGACAAAAACTTGGCCCAGAAATCGAAGTTTATTTATGACAAACAAAAATGAAAGCAAATTTTTTCAGAAATTCTACGTTTCAAGTAAATAGAACAAAGAATGCTACAGGAAACCGACGCCGTACCTCGAGCGACTGAGCCGCCATGTCAGCACTTCATGCGAAGAACGACACAACAAACTTTTTTGACTATACTTTCTTTCTTTCTCCCTTTATTTCACTCTATATAAGGCATTTCCACAAGTGTACGTAAGTAGGAGAACAAAGTATAAATAATCATTAAGCTAGAAGACATTAAGTTCATTTGTGTACAGTGTCCAAAGTAGCAAGAGCTTTCTTGTTGGACACCGTCATGTTCAGATAATCGGCAGCAGCAAAGAGAAGAAATAAAATCTCAAATAATATCAGTGATAGAACATATAAGCAAGGATAAGATCAGATTTGATTGATTAAAAGATAGGACTTCCATTCTTTCTTAAACTTATGATATTTTGTATAAACAGAAAATAATAAAGCTCTCCTTTTTCTCTCAGGTAAGGAAACAGTTCAAACTTTTAACGGTTTCATTTAAGCCATTATGCTGTTGTTTCAGTTGTTTGCGAAATGATAAACTTGTGAATTGCCATGTTTGAAAATTAGCTCCCGGCTGCAAAGATCTAACTTTCGCATGATTTGATCCCTCAATCAAATCGTACTTTTTGATGGTTTCCTTTCCAATTTTGTTGAGATCACTTCGTGTGTATATACTAAAACAATTATTTTCAATCTCGGTGAATAGTGGCTTTAGGAATATTTACGCGGCTTGGAAAATAATAATCACCCACTACTCACCTCGATTTCAAAGGATAATTGTTAAATAGACCCCCTAACTCGCAAAAGGGAACACCAGCCTTCGAATTCCAGCTATTGGTCACAACGGGATATTCAAAGGCCCGTTTACACGAGCGGCGAAAATTGGAACAGCTTGGATAAAAGACGAACGACTGGGCTAAATTTTCAAGTGTAAACAGGCCTCAGATTGCAGGTCCAACCTTTGCACCACCTCAGAAATATGCATAAATATCGTGCGATTTTTTTGAGCTACGCTCGTGGAAACGATTTTATATTCTAATATTATAATATGGTTTAAATGTAATACTACAAGTAGAAACGATAGTGCAGAAAAATTATATGCGAGCTTTACCTTCAAGAGCTACATTAGATGAAATTTTGCCATCATTTGACAGTGAAATAAAATTTGCAGATTTTTCTACGTCCATCCCACCAATATCCTTGCGTTATCACCAAATAATCGAACTACTGCATGGAAATTTACAGTATCTCTTTTTCATCTGCCTGTTGGGCTTTTTTTGTAAACGATGATTGGTTGTTAGCTTCATGACGTCTTATGCCTACGTTAGAGTACTTACATAATTTCCTTCGTGATACGTCACTCAACGTAAACCAAGGTTAAAAGTAGAATATAATATTTCATTGAATACAATTTGTATTACGATGGTTTTCTTCCAAAGATGATTCAATCATTGCTCGAGAGATCTAAATGATATAAGGATTAAGCTTTCATCTGAAGAAAATAGCATAACCGCCGAATCAATGCTTGAAGCATCGCTTTTAAAATGTAATTTACGTATAGACTGCGATACCGAACATATAGCGGTGTGACGTAAAATGGTCTAAATATATCCTAACATTAATTAATTAATTATCACATTGACGCGTGCGCGATGCATGTATTTGAGGCTAATTGTTCTAATTTGTAAAGGCAGACGTTTATATTCCTCTAAAACTGGCTTTCATCTTCCATTTCTCATAAAGCGTTTAATTTTTTTTTCTTTTTATATAATCCTCTCGAGTTTGACTGTGTCTATTTGTCTGTCTGTTTTGTGTTTGTTTGTTTCAGTCATGTTTTGTTTTGACAATGTTATTATCGATTATTGCCACACGCAGAGTTTGCCTCTTGTAACGAATATACATTGCGGCTCTAAGCAAAGAGACAATACACAATTTTTTTTTTCAATTTATTTTGGAACTTAATTAACCAGTTTAGCTATTTATAAGCCAAAACCATCGTAAAAGCGGCTGATTATAAACGAAAACAACGATTACTGCCGTTGTAAATACCAGCCTTTACGGACTTTGTTAATAAGTTAAACACAAATTTGCCCAGTCGAGTAATTTTCGCATTTATTAATCACAGATCACACGGTCATCTACATAATGAAACTAAACGTATTGAACTGTTGCTCTTTTCGCTATGATAGAGGCACCGAATGGATGTAGCGAAGTTCCCGGTTTCTCGAAACCTAGAAGCACTGAAACGCTATTCTCAGTATTTTTTTTTCTCACAAGGTGTTTCTTCAGAAAAAAATCGATTGTCTTAAACTGGGGATTATTTTCCCATTTCTTATAGTTAAAAGATAGGAATCAAGAAGAGTGTCTCGCGATCCTCGATGTTACGGCTCTGTGATCAGGTGTGCGGTTATGGATAACGAAAGATAACGAAGGTTATGATATTTTGAGGACATAACAACGTAAAAATCATATAATATTTTTTATTTTAGCGGATGAAATGCGTGGTCTAAGGATTAATTCGGAAAAGTACCGCTCAGCTCAATAATAATTCCGTTATTTACCCTCGGCAGTATTTATAGCACCAGGAGCCTGATAGCACTAAAGCTAGTGGAGCGGAGTAAATGTATGAAACAAATAAACTCTTAATAAAACTGACATAACAGGGTTAAGAATCCCAACTGGCCGGAGGCAAACTAGCTTGCTATTTCAAGCATGGCCGATGATTTGAACTCGGGACTGTACCGTGAAGAAATACAGCTAATGATCACTCTTAACCTTTTAAGTCCCAATATCCACAAACAAATTCTCCAAACTGGTCTCCATACATTTCGTCAAAGAATGAGTTCAGAGAATTTGTTCAAAGATCAGGGCATTTTCTCTTTGGTAATCATTTTGTCAATTCTCATAACCTAATCTCTTGACAATGTACGGATATTGTCAGGAGAAAATTGATGTTGGTCTCTATTGGGACTTAAAGGGCTAATGATTTCAACAACCGCCTCACCGCCTTGCAGTAGCCAGGACGACAAAAAATCATTTTTAGCAGCTTTCACTTTTAGAATGGTCACCGTATAGGATGTCATCCATATACAAAATATTTATAACCCGCTTGTATAGCAATACACAGGTTAAGTATAAAGGAACGATCGCCAGCTTCATATCACAGGCAAAATTTCACGCGGACCCGCAAAATGTTGCCTGACTGAATTACATCACATGCCAGAGTTTTATCGTTGAAGTGAAAGGTTATAGAGCTCTTTCACCAAGTGGCTAGCAGCTATGCAAAATTTATTGGAACAAACGAATGATTTCACACAAGAAATAGGTTCAACTCCTATAGGATTGGTTTGGGACACCAACATGGCTGCCGTTTTACTGTTTTGGGACAAATGCCTTCAACATGGCGGAAGTGACGTCACGTGAAAAAGGCTCTGTTCATCATTTTCACCGAGACCACAAGGCACCTTGTTTACCCCCTGCCCCTCCCCCCCCCGCCCCTCAAAAAAAATACATAACCATTGTTTCCATTTTCTCCTGGGTATTACAGTCGTCGCAAGACAAATCGATGACATGTTCATATGTTCATGCAAAATGTGGGGGGTAAACAAGGTGCATTATGGCCTCAATGAAAATGGTCAATAGCATCACGCTTATTTCTTGTTCAAATGTGTCGTTAAACTGATATTTTAACCACACAGTTAAAGTGTTAAACACCAAACATTTTGTGTTCTCATTATGTGCAGGTGTTCCCATCACTTGTCCTTTAGCGCGTTGATGATTTTCAGTTGACTTAATGCTTAGTAATAGACCAATCAGAGTGATCGTTTTTAGAAGGGGTGTTAGCTGTCGTTATTAAATTCATATCCATCATATACTGCCGTTAGAGTTGAAGAAACTAAGAGTCGAGGCCTAAAGGAGCTGGTAAAAAAAACTGGTAAGTGCTTTTTTATTTTTTTAATGTTCTAAACGGGTTTCTTTCAAAGACTGAAGACGTGTTTAGTGAGATATACCATGTTCTTATTTTTTTCGTTAATAAAGTGCGAAAACCAAGGATGTGATAGAGATCATCAAAGATAGTTGTATAATTAAAAACCAAAAAGAAATCCTGGCCAGTGACGTTTGACTGTCCTTCATTATAGATTAAGGCCTTTCTCGTCCTTTCATTTCAAGTTCGATGTCAAACTGTCATGATTAGGAGATTGCTGTCTCTTCTTTCAAATAAAAGGTGGGCTTCTTGAGAGTCTTTCCCAGCCCCCTAATGTAGAAGAATTATGATTTAGGCTGCAAAAGAATGAGAGAATTTACTGGTTTCGTGTGGGCTGAAGGCGATTTGTGTAAAAAATTGTAGTACACATGTGGTTTCAAAAATATCCTGTTCCATGAGAATCGGGGTCTTGGAGCTCATTAATAATGCGTCTTGATTGTCTTTTTCCTTTTAATTTAATTTTTCCTTCTGTTTGTTGGGGTTGATACTCGTTAGTATTTTAATAAAAACTGCTATTTGTGTTATATAGATCATTAGTAAGTACACGTCATAGGACAATGGTGGTTCGTTTTTAAGAGTGGTGATCACGGAACTACTTGTACCTTGTTCAAGTTCTCATAAATTTGATAATTACAGGAATAAAAAGGAAAGGTAACGAGCAGTACTTTCGCGGCTTACTGTTTATTACAGTGTCGTAAAAGGTGGTTCTAACTTGAAATCCTAATGCGTTACCGTTCAGATGAATGCTACGAAGCATTTTTGATGTCGTACAAGGTCGTTCTAACTTTTAAGTCTGTAAATGAAAGTGTGAACATCAAATTAAAGCAACGGAGCAGAAATCTCCTGTTCGCCTCTAGTAAGGTAATCCGGAATTCAACTAAAAATCCGAATCCCACAAACGATTGGAATCTGTAATCCAAGTTTCACTGGAATTCGGAATCCAGAGTCTAAGCCGATTGTCTTGGATTACCTTAAAAAGAGGGGTTCGTCCTCTTGGATGAAATTATTAAAAGTTTTTAAAAAAAGCGACCCTGACTTTTTTCTCAGAAATGAGGGCTTTCGTCGTTGTCGGCTGCTTGGTGGCGTGTTTTGTTGCTGTAGAGTCCAGGGCCCTGAACGCGTTAGAATCAAACACTGCGCAGGTAGCGCAAGTTGCACAGTCGTTCACCGCTGACCAGATAGCATCTGCACCGCAGCAACTCAGTTTCCAGAGTCAATCAGATGAATTGAAACAGGATAAAGGCAAGAAAGGTATGCGCATACTTACACATGTCATTTCCTTTTCTTAAAGTAAAAGGAGCAGGGGCGACTAACCATAAGGAAAAAAAAAGGTCATATACTTCATTCGTTCATTCATTTATTTATTTTTGCCATTAACCAGAAATACAACAACATTATACAAAAATTTATGATACATTAAAGATACTATTCAACTAAATTATTTACAAGATCAAATCTTTAAAGTGGTAAGGGCAAGGAAGCCTATATAGAAGCCGGGGGCTTGTAAACTATAGGCTTCCGGGAACTATAGGGTAAACCATGCAAGTTAAGGGTACTGGATGAAAATTTGGATTAACGGGCGATTTAAAATAATATCTGTTCTGCAGGTGACGCCATCAGTTCCTCGGAGCATTTAGTTCTATCAGTTAAACACTTACTTTTCTTTTCAAATTTTTAATTGGGTTTAGTTGGGTCCTAATAGAACACGTATGTTGAAAATTCGAAGCCCTTAAGTGTCACGAGACTAAACTAGAATAGCGCTTGACAGAACTGGGAGAGAAACGACTTACATGTATGTCTCCCGAATAATTGTGGCCTCTCGTGCATATCAAGCTTTATGGCTCTGGTTGAAACATTTTTTTATTTCTCACGTATCAAAAACTTCACAGCCCTGAATCTAGGACGATGAATCTATCACCTCTTGGATTCTTGCCTTTTGAATTGCATAATTTTGATTGCATTTTGATGACGTCACAGCAACAGGGTTTCTAAGACTTGACTATACAAGCCGAAAATTTGAGCTCAAGTGGAATTTACAATGCCTTGCGTCTCCATTTTATCCCCAAATTCTATTTATTTACCAGTAACAACAGAATAGAGTACGATTCGTGGGGATATTACTGACTTGAAACTGGAACTGCTCACTCGTTCCCAATATTCCTCTTGTACTTTTTCTCTGAAGAAAGGGTGTAAGTTCTGTGACGGTAGAATTTTCAAAGCTGAAATAAAATGAGTAATAACTTCTATTTTTTGAATGCTCGTTTCAAAAAGAGGAAGAGGTGGCAAGGTGTGGACTTAAACACTTTGTCTGACTAATCAAAAGTTTTAATCTGATTCACAACATAAAATATTTTCGGTTTAGACCCTTGAATGAGAATTGATAATTCCACATTTTACGAGAAAAAGATGAATTGCATATTTTGTGTCTCTCTTCCTTGCAGGGAAATCAGGCGATTGGTATTACCCAGGATATGAACATCCCGGATACCCCTGGCAATATGGATACCCCTACGGCCATCATAGCACCTACCCGTACCCCTATCATTACCCATACCAACACTTACCCCTACCAGCTCCGACACTCCCTCCTTCCCACCCGGCTGTGCATGTCCAAGGTCCGGTTGTGGTCTCACATCCGCCCCAACAACCCTACCCCTACCCCTACCACTACCCCTATCACTACCAGTATCCCTATAACTACCCATGTCACTACGGATACAACTGCGGTTACCCCTACGGGTATGCTGTTCCCGCTCCGGCTGAGACTAAGGAAGAGAATCGCAAGGAGGAGAAGAACGGGAGCAAGGAAAAGGAGGACGACAAAAAGAGCAAAATAAACCATTAAGAATATTATTCTTATAGTTTGATCTTAGTCAAAAAAACTAAATAAATGAATCATGTATTAATGAAATAGTTGTTTCATTATATCATTCATTGCATTGGAGTTAACCATATCGCTCGATCTGACTGATTGGCTAGGGGCACTCTATCATTCAGTCAGATCGTTGGATAGATTTTTTACGGTTTTGTTACAGCTGTTGCGGGGTCTGGACACTAGACTTGTTCGGGTCCGCCACATATTTCAATTTAGCTTTGTCACTTAATAATTACTTTGCAAGCGATCGGATCTTCTGAGAGTTTCACTGCCGACTGTACCAGACCCCCAATGTTTCTCCGTTCCAGACCTGACACAAGCTGCCACAGAATTCAAGGTTTTTCTTGTATACATATCTGGGCCATCTTGGATTCTTTTTTCAAAGGATGGATTTTAGTCAAAATTTAAACATTTCAGCTATCTGCCTTTTTAGTCAAAGTAGACCAGTCAAAAAAAACGTTTGGCGATATTTTAGAGTTGTGAATTGGCTACTTTGTTCAATTACAAGATTTTGATGGTGGTGACCTTCCAAGATTTTCTAAAGGGGATACATTATGACTTTTAGTCAAAATTGAAGAAAACATATGCCTGTAATTTTGAAAGCGTTTTGAAGTTGTGATTAGGCTTCCTAGACCATTTTCAAGGATTTTGATTTCTGCTGTTATCATGATTTGTGTCAATTTATATTTTGTTCCAATAGTTTAAATTTTCATCTGTGTTTTCCTTATAGTCGTTTAAGACCAGAAAATGAAAATATTTGAAAATTTGAAAATTCTACAATGTTTGTAAATGGGCAAAATAGGCCTAAACGGCTCCTAAATTGATTTTTCAAAGAGGTTAGCCTATGACGTGATTTTGCTGAATATTTTTTCTCTGTTTGTTTTTGAAAAAGAAATAGGCTTAACTTTTGAAAAATCTCTGAATGGAAAACCTTTTCTAAACTATAACATAATTTATAGTCGCCAAATTTGATTTTCCCAAAGGGGTGAGCCTATGACATAAGTAAAACTTGTCAAATTTCTTTATTGTTTGTTTTTTGGACAGTAGGAGCCCATGATTTTGCTAAAAAATTTGAAATGTCTTTTTGTTTGTTTTTGGGCAAAACAGACGCAGAAACAATCTTTGGTGAAGTTTCTGATAGAAAACAAGCTTTTTTAGATGATAAAAAAATTCGATTTTACAATAGTCGCCAAATTGGTTGCCGCATACGTCACAGACACTCTAAACCGTTTGTACAGAGCGTCTGCGAATTAGTGTACAATAAAGCCTTAAGCCTTTTTATTACGGCTAAATAACCTTTATAGTTTCTTTGATTTTCTCCAAAATGGCTGAACCCGAATACAGTCGACTGTCTCTAAGACGGACACCTTTGGGACCGGCACTAACTGTCCGTCTTAGAGAGATATCCGTCTTATAGAAAGTCAAATAGAGGGAGCAAAGAAAGGTAGGCACCAACTCTAGATAGGTGTCTGTTTTATAGAGGTGTCCGTCTTATAGAGGTGTCCGTTAAGAGAGAGTCGACTGTAGCTACATGTGTGGTTTTTTGACCGTGAATATCATGATTTCCTACTGTTTTTTTTTACTCTAGAACTGTGCGTCGGCCACGGAATGCACAATACGCGGCACTGTGGTGTCTGTGGCGATTAGAAGACGCTAGAAAACCAGTCGGAAAATTTACAAGTAAATTCTGGCCTTGAAGGAATTCTCTCAAAGCATTTTTTTTTGTTCGGAAGACGGCTTTAAAGTTCGAACTGCTCTTTCATTGTTTACTGTAAACGAACCTTGCCAACTCCCTTCTGTGAATTTTGACATGTCACTGCGCTCAACTGTCACGCAAACGAATGAATTAGGCCAATAGCGAGGCGGATAAGAAACCCGTAAGAAACCTGCCTATCAGAAACGGTCACATATATCCTTGCGACTCTGCAGGGTATTAGAACGAGCTTTTGTGCACTAATTCGCAGACGGACAATACAAATGGTTTAGACGAGTGCGTGGGCCGGCTGCAACGCAGGCTATCAATTGGGTATTTTCCTGAAAAATTTGAAAGTTCTCCATAATTTGTTTTTTTGGCAATGTAGCCCTAGAAAAAGAGTTTGTTAAAGTTCAGGGGCGAGTTGTTCAAAGTAGGGTTGAGATAACCCAGGGTTAGTGCGAAATTTGAATTCAGATAAGAAAGCTTTAAAAGCAAATTCAGTTTTATTCTTTTTGCCTACAATTTGATGATTGGATGCTCTAAAAAGAATACAGAAAATTATCCGGGAAAATGCTTTAGAGCAAAAGAAAAAGAAACCCAGGTTAAAATATAACCCAGGGTTAGCGTTAATCGGCCTTCGAACAACTTGGTCCAGGGTTCAGCCTTTCTATATTGATTTTTCAAAAGGGCTAAGATTTTTTTCATGGTTTGTTTTTGGCAAAGTAAGCGTAGAAACAATGTTTGGTAAATTTCTGGGTATAAAACAAGTATTTTTAAACTATAGGAATATCAGTTTTTACATAACCCACGAATTTGCTGAAAATTCTGAAAGTTCTCCATTGTTTTTGGGAAAAAAAAAATAGGCTTAGAGATTTTGCTGGAAAATGTTTTAAAAATTTATCAGTAGACTATAAAAAGACATAGATTACATATATACTTGCCAAATTGCATTTTTTCAAAAGGGTTAGCCCATGATTTTGCTAACGAAATTTGAAATTTCTTCATTGCTTCCTTGAGGGCAATACAGGTCTAGAAATTAAGTCTTTATCGAATAAACACTTGTTGATATTGTATAGTCGCTAAATCTTAGTTGGCGTTGTCAGGTCCATTTTTTTTTTGGTTAGGTATCTTAGTATCTTAGGGATCAATCTATTCACAGCCGTTAACGGAAATCCAAAGATGGACTTATGATATTGGACATGGGATTTGATATTGTTTCAAGCAGTGAATAAGTGACAAGTCATTGCCAAAATATATATATCTATTTATTTTCCTCTTGTCGGGAAATTAAGTCGTTGGTAAAAAAGGCTGAACTTGTTAAAACATCATCTGACTCTTGGATGCTTCCCCGTGAGGGCATTACCTTATTTGGCCCTTTTTTTGAATAAACAGAGTATGATTTTCAGAGAGGTGGGTCTAAACAAACATACCATTTCATTCACTATTCAGAATTTTAAACACCGTGCCATTTGGGTGGGAAACTTTAAAAGAGTGTGACTTCACTGATTGACTATAAAAGGTCTAAATTTGTACTACCAAAATCTTTCCTTTTAGAATTCTAATTCCATGATGTCAGTTTAAAAAATAGTTAATTCTCTATTCGAAACAAAATGAGTTATGGCCAGAAAATAAGGTCTTATAATTTTTTTGAAGGCCATGGCTGCGCATCTTTACCTAAATTTCCTTCGAGTGTCCCCAGGGATGCTTGCCGTCTAACTCAATGTCTTAAGGTAGCAAAATATTTACAGGGTGTTCTTCAGTGTACTATTTTCTTCACATCCGATTTCCTCTCTATCTTTTTTAGTGAATTGAAGAGAAATCCTCCAAATTGTTTATTTCTTTCCCATGGGACAGCATGTTGGTGCGCATGACGGAGCACAAACTGGCATCGGGGGAGGGGGTGGTGGTGGAATATACACTGGGGGAGGAGGGGTGCAGCATTGTTGTGGGCAAATTCTCATACAGTAGTGGATACAAACAGGAGGGCACTGAGGGGGTGGAGGTGCTGGAAGACCGGGGCATCCTGGTGCGCCGGGTGGTCCCATTGGTCCCATGGGTCCCATACATCCTGGAGCACCGGGGAATCCACGACATCCGGGCAATCCTGGTGGTCCCATGCATCCTGGTTGTCCTGGGGGTCCTGGCTGTGGGCAAGGCATTGGTACTGGAACGGGGCATGGTGGTGGTGGGGGTGGTGGTGGGGGAGGAGGTGCGCAGCATGATTGTGTGCAGGCCGGAGCACAGGTGGCAGGACATCCGAAGCCACATGGGTTAGCATCACGCTTCTCTACAGTTTCTGTAAATAGAATAACACGTTTGAGGAGACGGAAAATGTATGAAATCAGGAGCCTATGAGTAGGGGCGACGACTTCAATATACTCATATGTTACAGCGGTGTTACCAAAACTACTATTTTTAGAACAATTTTTCTGCGAATTTACACCATCTTTAAGTCGCACAAACCAGCCAGCAGAACCTATAGACCTGAAATCTGATGGTAGTTTTTGACTTTATAACGGTGTTTAATTTTGCCATTATCTATATGATTTAGATGCGCACATAGACAGAAAGAGCTTCCATTTTCGCGGGGGAAAATGCATACTCTAAATTGTATCTCAAAATAAATCGATCGGAGAAAAAGCCTTTTACATGCCTAAAAGGGGCGTTCGCTCTTGGTTATGGGCTCCTGATAAAAATATATACATGTAACGGAGAAACTAGAGAAAACTTTTGATGTGATTACCAGTAAGAAAAGTTATACGTTGTACGTTTTCTAGTTGATCTTACCATACCAACTATAGCTCTTTAATTTCCTCAGTGATGACTTGTAAATTACAAAAGAGGGATACAGTTGGTATGATAATTAACTATATAGATAAATATGGATTCAAAAATCGCTCTAGCAGTCAAATGTAAAGGTCTTTAGTGTCTACCTGGCTCATCGTCCACTTCTTTTGTTATTTTGACAATTTTTCCATGGTGTAGATATGCTTCTGTCACTGCAGGCAAAAAGACAAATTTGTTATGATTTGTGAATAACAGGCAGACAGCCACCACAAAGCATGCGCGGTGCTAGCCTCACAAGATCCATTGGTACATTGTATGTTCATTTGTCAAGGCAACAGATGTAAGAGGAAAAATCTAATTCCCGCCTCCCGACAGACTACAAATAAGGGTAGAAGAAAGTTGAAAAATAACCGCGATATGCTTTGGCCCTCCTATTTTTTTCTGAGTACAGACATTTCTTAAAAAAGTCGAAAAATGGATCCTTTTCCAGAGCGGTTAGTCCTTGGTTTTGGTCGAAAATTGGAAACTTTTTCGTCCTTTCTTTTTAGGCAAAATAGTTTTAAAAAACGTGTTTAATTTCTAGATACCCCCCAGACTATTAAAACACCAATTTAAAAATGTCCCAAAATTTGCATTTTTCCAAAGGTGTTAGTTCATGGTTTTGGTCAAAAATTTTAAATTTCTTCATCCTTTCTTGTAAGGCAAAATGGACTTAGAAAAACAGTTCGGAGGCATCCTAGATAGAAAACGACCCCCCTAGACTATAAAAACACTGATAAAAATGTCCCAAAATTTGCATTTTTCCAAAGGTGTTAGTTCATGGTTTTAAGGTTAGTTCGTGGTTTTGATCAGAAATTTAAAATTTCTTCACCCTTTCTTTTTGGCCAAAAAGGACTTAGAAAAAGTATTTTTTGCTGTTTTAGATAGAAAACAAGCCATTCTGGACTATAAAAACACCTATTTTTAATGCATTTGGCCACAAAGTGTTATTTTTCCAAAGTCGCAAGATGGAAATTTTTTCGAATTGTTTAGTCTAGGATTTTGGTTATGGTTTTTGAAATTCCTTAATTTTTTCTTTTTATTCTAAAAAAGGTGGAGAAATTATGTTTGGCGATGTTTTAGATAGAAAACAATTTACAATTAGTCGATCGTTTTGGTAAAGAATTTTAATTTTTCCTTTCTCATTTTGTTTGCAAAAAGTGGACTTGAAATAACATTCGGTGATTTTTTAGTTAAAATTGTTTTAACAGAAAAGTAGCCTTTCTATACTATAAAATTGTCGCTTGTGTATAAAGGTTAAGTGTAACCTCTCAGCTTTTCTAGAACTTGCCTTGTTAATAGTTTCTTAATTCTTCCTTGATTTGGAGGAAGGTTTCACTCTGCGTGACAAGGGCTCGAGGGGGAGGGGAGGGAAGAATTTAGACCTGTGAAATCGCGGTGAACAAGAGCCCTTCATGCACTCATGGGCCTCTCATAGCCTTTGTACATCACCCCTCCTTTTCTCCTCAACTGCATCCACCGGGTACAGTTCTTCCCTTCTTTTTTCCCTTAAAATGCCAGTTTGCTTTTTTAAAAACTCTCTGAGGAAAAGATCTACCAAACAAGCAATAAGTCGCCCTCAACAGTACTTAAGAACTAAAGTTGATTTCCTATTCTCACACAATTATCGTCAAAAGTGTTGGGAAGGTTGCTTTTTGACCTCTTTTTTCCTTCCTCCTCCCGCCCCGTGCCCGATGTTGAGCAAAACGTTTATGTTTGTGCGCGTAAATTTTCTGTTATATCCCGACTACCTTTATCTTTGATTGTAGGTCCTTCAAAAGGTCTCCCCCAACCCGGAATATTTTAATCCAATTTTCCCCGGGAAATCTTGTATGGTAAGGGTGGCTGGTCCCCTTACCTCCTCATTGCAAAAGAACAGCTTGCCTAAAGTGAAATAAACGTCCGCTGGATCATAGAAGTTATTTGTTCCTGGTGCAAGGTGCATGGTAGTCTCGACGAACATCAGTCATTAACTTTATTTCCTTACTTTTAAAGGTCTCACCATAAAAGAAGGTCCTATACTTCTCCTTAAAAGTACGTCATTCCCTAGCTTAATCTCGTTTTCACATTGTCTAGCCCAATAGAATTAAATCAACCAGAACCTCTTGAAACAGGTAATGTTGTGTGAAGTTTCGTTTCAAGAACGGTCGGGTAACAATTATTACAGCTGGCAATTTAAAGCTGTTATATCGATTTCTATAGATATTAAACACAGTGTTTTTTGTTACCTCTCTTTATTGATGTGTTAGTCTTGATACCCTTATGGTACTTAGTAGTTCTGGCGTAGTTCCCACTGAGATATAAATACCGTGTTTAAACACAAATTTGACAGCAAATTTTCTGTTGTACGTATCAGATAGGATCACTGCTTTTACGCCCAAGTGTAGCCATAATAATAATATTAACTATTATTAAAAGAAAAACGAAATTGACAAAAATATCATTTGAAACTCTACTGAACAACCATACATGGAATAACATTTCGGTAGCTTTCAAATGAATGGTCACATCTACGAATTTCATTCACAGACTTAAATGTTACACCTACTCGAGGAACCATGCCCCGGGTGGTTTGACTGATCATGCACGGTATGAAATAAGAAAGAAGAAGAGGAATTACCTTTTCTAGCTTCCAACGAAGCAATAAACAGGAAAACGCAGGCAAGTGTTAAATTAAACATGACCCAAGTTTCTGTGGAAAGAAACAATCAATGGCTTGTTGTCAATCACCAGGCGACCCACGCGTAACCTGCCAACATCTTTTTCTACTTGAGTGACTCGGAAAAGGCGGGAAAAATATCAAGTCAATAATAATAAATCTTTATCTTTATAAGTTATGTTTCGACAAAAAATAGCACCTAAGAATATCATCATTATTATTATTTTCATTTACTGTCATTGCCGACCAATAAAAGATAATCTAGGGTAAGGAGGGGCGTATCTCGCCATCGTGTTTTTAAGTATTTGTTTAGAAATTTGTATCGATGTTTCTCTGGATGTTTTTGTTAAATTAATCTACACCTTCGTAAAAGTCTACATTTCCAGGGTTCAAAGAATCGCTTTGAACACATGATTGTAAAAGGAAGTTTACTTACTTCGAACTTACAGGGTCACCTGTAAAACCATCTATGCGAAAACACCTCCCATATAGATTACAGATCAGTAGATTAAAGAAGGCCTATAGTTCTAGTGCATGGTGCCGAGTGCTATTCTAAAACAATTCGATCAAAACCCAACTAAACATTTCTAACGTGATATTATTTTTTTGGTCGTTTACCTTAATTCGATATCGATGCTGAGGAACGTTGTTGAAAGGTCAAGTTATGTGCAGTCTCTTCTGACGGGAGCGTTTGATGGGTGGGTGAGTGTATTGATATACCAAACGTTGGGCGGACAAATTTGTTCAAGACCTGCGCGGAAAATAATATTTGTCAACACCATTACGTCATGGCCGACCGATCCGGTTTTTGTTTTTCTCCGAATTGTTAGCTCAAGCAAATAGTCCTGGCCCTTGACTGAAGCGAAACAAATTAAGTGATTTTTATTAGTCTAAGAAGGCTTTTGAAAGATCCTGGTCCCTTGTTGCCGCTCAATTGAACCGTATATTTCCATCAATTGATCAATATCACGGGTCATTAATTATTAATGAGGTTGGAGGAAATAAGGAACTTGATCCTCGATATTTATTGTACTTGCAGTTTTCCTTGACAAATGAAATCACAAATTTTCTTCTGCCTCTGGGAAACAAGCAAATTATTGACAACATTTGTTTTGAAACAACTTGTGGTTAAGCTTATGTTAGGTAATTCCTGTCAAATGAAGACCACTCAAGCGTCAAATCTGGCGGGCAAAGAGATAAGTAATTCTTACAACAACATAATGAATGTTTTACAAGTCGCGTTAACCAGGAACAAAAGCGGTTAGAAAAAGTTTGCACTTCAAACACTCTTTTTTCTTGGGTAGGTCTAGGAACATCGAAAAAGACAGGTAAGATATAGATCAAACAGTTTTTTTTAATAGTTTCTAGTTATGGTAATTGTATTTGTGGTCAAAAAGTGGTGTGAAAAACCTGCTATTATGTTTTAAATAGCCGTGTTTTGTTGGGTAAATATAGCAGCTAGGAGAATTATAACATCCTCACCAAAAATAAAACAAAGGTAAGAATAACTGCCGCTCGAACTCGCAGTGGTAAAATAACGGTCTTATGTGTTACAGTAATCATGTGCAATTTCATAGTTATCCCTTCCTTGCAAGGGTTTGAACCATGAACACATTACGGCACATGGTGTACGAAAATTACAGTATTTAGTCCAAATTTATCCTCCTTTTAACGTTATAAGGAAAATCTGCTATCATAATTTCATGTATTTGTTAGAATTACAGAAACGCAAGTGTATCTTTGCTAATGAAAATCAATCGACAAATCGCAACTTCTAAACTCTCGGAGGTTTATTTCTTCACCATACTGAACTCAATAACACCCTTAGTAGAACTGTAGATTGTCTGTCCAATGTATGCATCTGAAAAACAAACCGTTTCCTGTTAATAAGATTTAAAGATTAACCAAAGCTGACCATTCGAAAGCCACTTGTTCGTAAGAATCACGAATCAAGAACTTTTTCACGAATCACGAACTCTTTAGGGCTAGCACTTCGGACACCAACTTTTTAAATATTTCCCGTGGTTCAATTACCCATAACTCTTACCCCCAACCGAGACCCAGCAACGCCACTGCAATTGTCGACAAAACTATCGAGAAATTAGTCACATAGTTCATAGTTCGGAAAACAAAACAGTCTGGACTCCAGAACCAATGTTGTTCTGTCGCTGTTGTTGTTGTTGTTGTTGTTTCCTGTATAAGCTAAAGAAGCGACAGAACATTTTTAGGGGGGAGTGGGGAGGCAATGATAAGGAGGCGTTTGTAATATGTGAGAAATTACGTTGAACGTAGCCTGCGTAGCATGGCGGTTTTGTCGAGCTGGCGCATGAGCGGCGAAGCCGCGAAATTCGCGAGAAAAATAAAATTTTTCAAGTTGCTCCCGCCGCAATCTCCTCGCGGTTTCTCTGCCCTCGCCCGCCTTTATTACTTAATGCGCCTAACCAGAACCGCCATGCTGCGCAGGCTATGTTGAACATTGAACGTCCTCACTATTGTTGTCGTCGATTGCAGTCTCTTAAGAAAAAGCTGACTCGTTAATGGTTAGATATGAACAAAATATCCAAGTCTGTTATCTAGTTGTTTAATGAAAGGTGAGACGCATATAATTAATCAAAACTAAAATTCTTAGAATATAGTGCTTACTATCATAGTTATGTTAATATATATCAAAAGGTTGGGTTTTTTATTATTTTAGTAGCGGCAACATGTTGACAGTTACCAGCTAGTATTCAGAAGACCTGTTCGGCTCAGTGTATGTTTTGCTTTCCCAATTCAGACCACGTGAAGCTTTCACAAGGGAATTTGCCTTTTGTCTTTTCCTGACCCATGCATACAAATGCACGTCGGTAAGACGAAATGTTATTTCAGTTCTCTGGGGTGCATCTCGTGGTCCGAAATGGAAACGCAAAAAGGTCTATTCCTGGTTTGCAACCACGTGACAAGGCGGCCTTGTTGGGGGTCAATAAAACAAATTTGTATCCCAAGAATTTACACGAAAATGGGTTTAAGTTCCAAGAGAAGAGAAACGCTTTTGTCCTTGATAGCCAACATGGCCAACGTGACGTCACCTGCAAACTGGCTGTTGTTAGCTGAGATTTTTTCACGAGGCTGGCGTCTGACAAAGGGTACCATATTTTTTTGATAGAGCCCCAGGGCTCGAAAACAGTACGGGTCTGCTGACAATGCATGTCAACATAAACTTCAAGTACATCACTGGGGTAAAAACAGCTGTAAAGAAACACGAATAGTATCCCAAATTGTTTACATGTTCAAACAGATGCAGTATTACGCTGATTTAGCAACAGAACGGGAACGTCAGTTGACGACGGCGCGCGCAAAATAAACAACTGGATTGACCAATAGCAGAGCGGCAAATTGGGCACCGGAAGTCGTGTTCAGTCCTTTCCGGACTCTTTCCCGTTGTCAACTGACGTTCCCGTCCTGTTGCTAAATCAGCCTAGTTACTCTTCAAAGTTTAAAATTAACGCAGGGGTGTTGAATTCAAACTTAGAAAATACTTTACAGCTAGCTCTGAAGTTAAAACTGTTTCTGTATTAGTTATGTTGATCAAATTTTCAGTTTATAGGAAAGTAACAAGCAGTCGTAAACTAGAGGAAAAGAGCAATCTATTAAGCTTGAGTTTATTCCAAATGCGTGTAAAAGTAAACGGATCTAAACCATGGTGTAATTGCTATTTGTTTTTTTAGATATGGACCTTAGAATTATCCTTGCATCTTGCCTTGTGGCGTTAGCGTGCAGCAAATCAATCGGTAAGACATCCATCTTAAATCACGTGACTAATGACGTTAAAGTGTACAACATAAAGGCAGTATTCATGCATGTAACCTTGAAGCAAATATAAAAGTAAAGAAGATCTTTACCTGAATAAGCCTGTCTGTCTGATCGGGCGCTATGTCAGTAGAAGGTAAATATGTCAGTTAATTAAATATAACGGTTTTGTGCCTATCGAAAAAAAATTAAGGTCGAAGTAAGATAACACTTAACAAGACTTTGATTATTCCGGATATCACAAAAACCGAATCCAATTATTGTTTTACGATATGGTGTTTTGAAGATAACAACGACAAACACACTGCCCCGTGGAACACTGTTTCACATTGCTTTTGCAAATTATGCATTGCTGGCGCAAGCTACAGATTAGTCAGCTATCTGAAAGCAAATAACTAAGGATGCACTGATTTCCAACATTATTTTTAGGCTCTGAAACAATGAGAGTACAGACAGTGAGCGCAATGTATAATAATGTTATTTATTGCTTTTTTTATTTTTTCATTTAAAGAGGAGAAGGAGAAGCGCGAGGCAAGCCCTTGTGGCTATGGATGCCCAGCAGTCTGTGCTCCAGCTTGTGAACCGACGTGTTGCGCACCACCACCACCCCCACCCCCACCACCATGCCCCGTCCCAGTACCAGTGCCATGCCCACAGCCAGGACCCCCAGGACAACCAGGATGCATGGGACCACCAGGATTACCCGGATGTCGTGGATTCCCCGGTGCCCCCGGATGTATGGGACCCATGGGACCTATGGGACCACCCGGCGCACCAGGATGCCCCGGTCTTCCAGCACCTCCACCTCCACCCTGCCCACCCATCTGTATTCACCACTGTATGAAAATCTGTCCACAGCCATGCTGTGCTCCTCCTCCCCCAGTATACATCCCACCACCTCCTCCTCCCCCTATGCCAGTTTGTGCTCCATCATGTGCTCCAGCCTGCTGTAAATAGGAAGTGGCCAAGATGAAAACCTGCGGAAAAATCCTGATTTACTGACTTGCCCTATGGGTGCAATAGCTTTACAAATTTGAATTTTTTCCAAGTGAGGCGTCTTCTTGTGCGTTAAACTAGTATTAAATATTGAATATTTCAATTTCCATATCTGTGTCAACTGTATATATCTTAATTATGGCGTGAAACAGCGAAGCTACGATTTCGAAAAAAGTGGATGAATACTTGTGATCATACTGACACACTGATCAAATCGATGATTTGATTTGATATATGGTAAAATAAACTAGGAGCCCATCAGTACATTCGCAAAAACCAGAGATTAGATAAAAGTATTGTCGCCTGGCTGTTCCGTTGTGGGTGCAAAAATTTCGAACAAATGCAGCTCCCATTCACAGTCCTCACATTCGAAGTCAATAGGGAGTATAAGCAGCGACGTTTTTGAGCAAGGCTGGTCCAGAAGTAAGCTTTTTTCTCTTTTTAATAAGCCAGTTGGCACCACCAAATTTGAGTTGGTAAGTGTTGTTTTACTCTTAAAGAGAAGATTTGCCTTAAAATTTGTTCAAAATAACGGCTCAAGAGTGCAAAAAGTCCACTTCCAGTTGATGTGCATTGCTCCTGGCGTCGCTCAAAAACGTCGCCGCATAAGGTTCTTCTTAAAATAATGACAGAAAATGGAATTTATTCACATCTAATGAAGGTAATTTCCAACACCTTTTTGTTTGTTTATTCTTTGTGCGCGCCCTCATCAAAATTGTGCGCGGGTGTCACACGCGATGGCGCAATTATTTCGATGGAAACACCACATTACTGGAAAAGGTCTGAAGGTATCTAGTTGCGTTGTCCTTTGCCGATCATAGTAAATGTAACAGCAATTGGCACACGTACTCCGACCCACGGCCTGGCCAGTACCTAACGCATGCGCAAAGTCATATCATCCGGGCGTTGGCAGACAGCTGCCTTGACCTAGGTGACTCCTTATCAAGGATCATCAAAATATGAAAGTCCACAGCGACAAACCAGTCAGCATGGTATAGCTGTATGACCCATGAACCGCGGACTCTAGCTCCTGGAATAGGTTCAATTCAATGTTAATGAGAGATAGCCTGCCCGATTTTACTTAAAGGCTCGCTTTTCCAGGGTAGAGGATCACTTTCACATCTAAGATCGTGTTTTGATTCCTGGCCATGCGCGAACCACATTTTGCGTTCACATTAATCTCGTTCCCAGAGTCCGCATAGCTTTGTCCAGCTGCAAACGAGATCGCGTTCACGTAAGTTCATATGGGTTTAACCACTCACATTGGCTCTTAACAGTCATGTGCTGGTTTCATTACTTTGTTGAAGTACTCGTCACTGCAAGAAGTAATATTTACTATTTATCTCACTCATTAATCGCAAAGGTTGATGAACAAGTATTAGGCATGAAAATGTTTATTTTCCTGAGACCATTGAGAGCGTTTTACGAGTGCCCGAGAAACGCGAAACGAGTAGTTTGAAAGCCCGCGCGCGAGACGAAAGCACCAATCGAGAGACTGGGTTCTAAAGTAAACCAATATGGCGACGCATTTTAGACCACGCAGAGAACGTGTGTAGTAAATTGGAGCAAAAGTAACATAATTAGACTTCCTGGAACTCGGATTTGTGCTTCAGCAGTTCTTTTACTTACACGTCAACACTTGTCTTAGCACTGGGTCTTGTGGGGTAAGCTTAAGCTTATTTTACACTGTACATGTATGTTTAATTATATGTAGCTTGAAATAGCCTTCAGTTAAGCTTTAATAAGCTTAAGCTTAAATTTAAGACTATTTCGCAGAAAACGATGGTCATATAAGCAAGTAATTTTGGTGATGGTAAAAAGGATTAAACTTATGGTTTAAATCATCGAGTAAATCCAGGGGACCGATCTAATACATGTCCAAATTAAGGTGAAACATGAACTTTAAATTTGGCAGGTACAGAATACACGTCACAGGTCACAGGTAACAAATACAGGCAGGGTCGTATCTAGGGGGTGATCATGGGGTGCTTGGACCCCCCCCCCCCCCCCCCCTTCTTAGGAAATTGTTTTATTTTCCCTTAAATTTTCATTGAAACATGAACTTTAAATTTGGCAGGTACGGAATACACGTCACAGGTCACAGGTAACAAATACAGGCAGGGCCGTATCTAGGGGGTGATCATGGGGTGCTTGGACCCCCCCCCCTCCCCCCCTTTGTGAGATAATTGTTTCATTTCCCTATAAATATTCAGGTGGTGAAAACGCACAAATCCGAAGAAACCACAGGGGCCCACACAATCTGTGTGTGTAACCGATTGTTATTTTATAATAAATGTATTGGATTTGCCATTTGCTTGACCTATTAGCGATATATTGCTAAGGTTGTATGGATTATCAATCAATCTTAATTAAACATTGAATTACCTTACCTGTGGTATGTTGTCATCCTTTTGCCTCAAAAGCAGTTTTTTGAGCAATTTTGAAGGATTTTTAGTTCGCCGTTGACTGTTCCATATAATAGAAGGACAAGAGAGGAATTCATTGTTTATTTAAGACTGATTTATAGACAAACTTAGCAATCTTTCACTATAGGTCACGCAAACGGTAAATCCAATACATTTACCATAAAATAACAATCGGGTTACACACACAGATTGTGTTGGCCTCCTTTGGAGAAACAACGTGCAGTGCTCGTTACATACTGCATTTGCAGGACTGGACATCTGCAGTGGACCACGTTCCTGTTCGTAACTAAAATTACGAAGGTCAGAGCAGTTTGACATCCATTGGTTTTATATAAACAACATATTTGATCCTTCTCGGCATGTGAATTAGAATATTATGCCATTGATACACAAATTTGTTGCTTTCACGGAGCTTCATTACCAAAATAGTATGTTGGCGATCCCCGGTTGGTGTTCCGGCTTGTGCACATTGAACATTTTTATGATCATTTTATTTCCCCATATTAAAACATCTTTGCCACTCAGCATCGACGCCACCTCTTACTAAAAGACATGACTGTCAAGCATTGTTACAGATGCAAAAGTAAAGTGACAAACAACGACTGTAATGATGGTGATATTTGTAAACACACTGTAAACAGGGACTCTAATTTAAATGATAATACAACATGGGCACTGGGCATCAAATGTACCAGCCAATGTGTTTAATTAAAGCTCTACAATTAAATGTTCAACAAATGCTTATCTGGCTGGAAATGCTTGCATAGTCCCAAAAATAACTGGTCAGTTTCAGCAGAGTAAAGTGTATAAAACTTCCATATCACCACATGTTTTTCTTAACGGAGCAACACACTCAGCAAAAAACAAACATATGTTTTTTCCTTATGTCCAGATATGGCCATACAAAAAGCTACAAACCAAACCGGTGGCGCATGACTTTGATGAGACTTTCCTTAGGAGTATGAGCCTTGTAACAGCATTGATACTAAAATAGAGTAATTTTTGTTACGTGGAACTTAATTCATCGATGCAGCTACGTGTATTTGGTAGGCTTGTCCTCCCCCCCATGCTCACTGCTCATCCGGAAAGTCTCACTTTTAGTAAAACACAGATTGGATGTCGAAATGCCAATCTGGTAAGTACCCTGGGTGTGACCCCCCCCTCCCTCCTGCCCTTTGAAAAATCCTAGCTACACCCCTGCCAGTTCATTGCTTTGTTGATAAATAACTGAAATAAGCTAAAACTCTATTTCAGATTTTTATTCCTCATGGTCCATGTTTGACTCTTGGCCATGAAGGAATTTTTTTCCTTTTTTTAAAATCACATTTTTTTATGTAATTATTGGCTTGTTTCCCTTCGTAAATACTGCTGCCCCTTTACAGCTTCACGAGGTGTTGCACAGTGACCTGTACTCTGGCGTACACTTGATCTGACCATAGTTAATTGAGTGGAATGGTTATGAAACCTGCAGACTCCTTTGTTATATGTTTTTGTGGACCTGAAAGTGCACAACGTTCAAAAGAATTCCTATCATTTTGATTGTATTGACCAATAAAAACGTTGCATTTATTTATTCCGTAACAATTTGCCAACAGAAAACAAATTAAAGGATTGTGCACTTTCAGGGTGCTTCCAACATAAACTGCAGCACTGTTGTTTTTATCATTGATGTTTGCCACTTTTCATAACCAGTCTCCTCTAATAACTATGATCTGACCTGACCTGTGACCTTTGCTTTGTACCTGTCACCTGAAATTAGCGGGCACTCACCAAGCCTCTGTCAATGTCTGCTTACCAGAGCTCTCCCTAGATTACAGGTTCATTTCAAATGCAGAAAATAATACGGGAAGAAGTGGTTAAAAAATGTTAGCCATTCATTTGCTTATGGATACTTCAATCTTGGAGACGTGTGTGGCTGAGTGGTTAACACCTTGAACTCCGGATCTGGAGGTCTGGGGTTCAAGCCTCGCCTGTCTCGTTGTTTCCTTAGACAAGGAACTTTACTCGACTTTCTCTCTCTTCACCCAGGTGTATGAATGGGTACCGGCGACATACTGCTGGGGGGTAACACTGTGATTATCCCATCCAGGGGGAAGTAGCAATACTCCTAGGTGCTTCATGCTAATGAAATCAGCATAAGCTCCAGCCATTTGGGCCTTTGGCTCATGTGCACCTTCACCTTTTACCTTTATATACATAGATCACAGGGGTATTTTGCAGAACACTGAAGGGCGCTTAATGCCAAATGACTCTGAAGTTTAGTAATTAGGATTAGGAAACAGTGTGAATCAGGTTCCATTGAAGATCCTACATACCTGCCAACTCTCCCGTTTTTCCCGGGCATCTCCAATTTTTTCATTAGATCTCCCAGTCTCCCAGTTTGAGCAACAAATCTCCTGGGAAACACCTACAGCTGTACCGTGGCCTTATTCCTTAATTTCGTTATTTTTCAAGATGTCAAAAAGGAAAATAGAAAATAACACAAGAAGTAGTTTCAGTGCTCTTATTATTTTGAGCTGTTCTTGATTGGAAAAC